ATAAATTTTGAAAGTTACTTATGTATTCTCTCATGGAGCAGTAGATGAGTTACTTCACTATTTACATTAGAGTTTAAAATTCTAGGGCGGGTGTCGTTCCATTATCAAGGGAGGTTTCGGTTTCTGGGTCACCTTTCCCAGACAGTTACCAAGGGAACGTGCCGCAGACCTCATTTCAATACCAACCCCCATTATTTCATCAAGGACAAAGAGCAAGGGTAATCTAATGCCTTTTTATTTTTATCATATCGTTCATGCTATTCTAAAAAATGTTTTTCTATTGAGTCCATAAAATTACATAGAAACTAATGATGAGCTATATTAAATGGACATAAACTGTCTTGTTAAATTCGTGGCTGTGAAGTTCATTTTCAATGTGTGGCACCCCCACTGGACAGAGTGAAACTGCGGTGGTGCCGTGGCTCTGTGCTAGGCTGCTAACCTCAAGGTCAGCAATTCAAAGCCACGAGCCACTCCACTGGAGAAAGACCTCACGAGCTCTGGTCTCAGAAGTTCCCCGGGGCAGTTCTACTCTGCCTTCTAGGGGTTCTCCGCATTGGGATTGTCTCGACGGCAGTGGGTTGGAGAATTGGGGATGGAGCCACCAGCCCAGTGCTCCCCGTTTGCATCGTGGAGCCTTGGACACACATTTCTGTGAGATTATTCAGGTTTGTGCTGAAGAGCACACCCGATGTGTTCAGTGAGCTTGCTTGTTGGTTTGGTTTCAAGGGGGGAACTGTGAAAGGGTGGGAAGCAAGAAGGCTAGAAAAATAAACAGGGGTAGGATCATGAAAGGCAGGTCTCACTATGAATTCCCATTATTTCATTTGGACTTTATCCTAGATGATATAAGACTACTCCCATGGGGAATGAAGAGCCCCTGGAAGGTTTTTGTCCATGCAACAATATGGTCCGACTAACACCTTTGAAAAACTGCCTTGTGCCAGTGCAGCAGTCTATGTGGCTGTTGAGGCTTGACCCAAGGTACGGGCATTTATGAAATAGAGGTAATGTCATCTGTTGATCAATACTATGTGAGGTGCGAATAAATGGCCCCTTGAACATTTTTGATAACATAACTTGTATGACCAGATAGCTCTATTTTCATTTCAGCTTGTACATTTGATGCCAGGTCAAAAGTGTTGCTGCTCTTAGTAGCCAGGTCTTCCTATAACTTTGACAAGGGACACTAAAGAAAAAAATTACATCATATAATGGTATGAGCTGAGTTTCATGCTCTCTCTTCTTTTGTCTGATTTCCGAAAAGCAAAGCGCTTCCAATCACCCCAATGAAATGGAATCCTAATCAGGAGCACATTTATCATTAGTTGAGATTTTATTTTGGGTCATCGAATGCTTCAATTTTCAGTGAGCCTTTGATTTGAGAGACCAGCGCTAAGACTCTGATGATCTCAGATGCACAGCCATTTAATCCACAATGCCAGAGAACCCCGGGGGAAAAATGTTTAAGAAAAGTGATCCAAATATCATGTTACAACATTCTATGTTCATGGAAATTTTAATACATACTTGACTAAGAGATGCATACAATGACTACTGAACCTCCACTTACAGGCAGCCAACAAGATATGAATGAGTTTATTAACTTCAAACAAAACTCCTGATTGTGCAATTAAAAAATTACAAACCATTCAAAAATGAAAATTAACAATGGAAGCAACAGTGACTATCGAACACGATGGGATGCCTTTAAAGGTTCAAGTATTGTTTGTAAAGTTCTTCAGACACCAGTCTTTGAGAAGTTCGTGCAATCCCCATCTTTGCATAGTAAAAACGAAACAGAACATACACACAGACACACACCACTTGGTCGAACTCCACAGCTCTGGGTGATTCATGTTCCAGAACATGCAACTACGTGTACTGCTCATTTAGTGAGCGTAGCTCTAATTCAATGGGCTCATGCAATAGTCCAGGGGGAGCAATGGAATCAGCGCACATCTCCTCACCCAGACATCATTGATCAAAAGTATCGCAGGTGAAATGGGAACTTGTCATCACTTAACACTAACTCTGCTTGGGCGACATTAAACAGTGATATGCTTGTGCTTTGAGCTCAAGTTAATAAAAAGGAGTGGCCACACCACAGAGAGTCGGCAAATGGATGGTGTGGGCAAGAAATAAAAAAGGAAAAAAGAAAATCCAGCAAAGAGTTTGCAACGATACACGCCCCAAACAATTTATAATTCATATGGTTGCATTACTTTTCAGTCACATACACTTCGCTTAAAGCTTGTGTATTTTACAGATAGAGACAAAGAATTTAACATTGGAGCATAGGCTTGGTTACCTATGAAATTGCCAGTGTAACATAAAGTTGCCCTGACATTTGCCATATGTACATACGATTTGGGGACCACTGTGGTCTGATTGAAAACATAACATCGCACAGTTACAATGTTGCTAGTGAAACGCTCAGAAGTTAGCAACAGATCTAACTTGTTTGGGAACCACCAAGGGTTTGCTTTCCCTGCAGTCACCATGGTCGCCTCCTCCCCAAGAGCCGTGCAACGTGTGTGGTGCACTTGGCAGCAGCTTAGTACCTGCTAGTGAGTCGCACTCAGCGGCGGGAGGATACTAAGCCATTCAGCCACAGCTGTCTGAGAGGCCAAGGATCTGAGTTTCCTCCAAGATTCCCCCAAGGTGAAGAGCCGCCGCCACCAGGTAGACGGATATACCCTGTGTCTGAGGAAGCCTGGAGTAAAGGCTGATGAACTCTGTAGCTAGGCCTGTTATTACATGTCATATAAATATCTAGCTCGTTCTAGAGAAAGACTGCAGGCTTGTGTAGCACCTATGACTCAGAAAGCAACGAGCTGGACTGAGCGGTTTGATGGGGGTCTACTGTAGCATATGCAAATTAAAATGTCTGCAGTACTACTGTGATGCTTGCACAATCAAAGACACCTTGAGGGGCCCGGGGAAAAGACCCTTTTTATCGGCACTTCTTTAGGAGAGAATCTTTCCCAAAATCAAAGAAAAAGTTGTGAGATAGGTATCAGGGCTCTTGAGGAAAAGCGAAAGCTAGAGGGATTCCGGGGGATGAGGCAGTGGACAGAACAGGGGCATGTCCTGTGCCATGAAGAAGTTGGCAGAGAACTGGGGGCTCTTTGGGGATCTTTAGTCAATTTGTCTCTATCCTAAGTGCATGCTCACGGAGATGACCATGCACACATCTTTACATTCTAGAACACAGCCGGAACCAAATGGCTTCATTCACTCATTCACTTAGCACTTGAAGGGGAAGCTATCTTGACCATAAGGGGAAAACTGTGAAAGTGTAGGAAACTCAGAGGGACTTGGTCACCCAGATTACAGGTGCAAATCTGCCTGGTGGGAAAAAAAAAGACGGTGAATTTTCATCCGGTAGAATCGCATCATAAGCCAGCAGTCCACTGGAGGATCAGCAAATCTGATGAGTCAAGCAGTGGTGCTTGAAAGCACACAGAGACCAAACTCTGAGTCAGTGCAATTTTAAGGGACAGAGTCGAACTGCCCCATAGGGGTTGTAAGTTGTCCCGTGGAGCAGTACAGTTCTTAACCTTGGCATCGCTAGAGCTCCTACCCTCAGACTCACCGTCCTTTCTACAAGTGTGAGAGAGATAATAATACTGACAGGAAGGTAAAGACGTGGTGGCTGTTCTCATTAGCAGCTTTACAATGGGGTTCTACCATATAGACTTTGAGGCAGGGAGATGGAGCCTGAATGAAATTTTGACAATAATAGATACAAATGACATGGAGAGCTTAACTTTTTCCCAAGCTTCCAACAGTTAAAAATTATTATTATTTTATTTAAGGCTTTAAGTTTATACTCCTTTCACATTAAAGACAGGGAAAGAAAATCGTCAAAAACAAAAACAAAACTCATGCGCTTGGCACTTCTGTGATAAATTTGAGAGGGTGTCAACTGTCTTACATTATATACATACATCAAAAATGTCTAGACTTGTTGTCAATACATATATTTGCATTTACATAATTGGTGTGTTTTTAATATGGGTATTTTGCTGTTTGTGTTGCCCCCACCCTGCCTCTTTTATTTTGGGTTTCAAGCATATCGACTTTAAATTGCACCTGTGTTGTGCCCAAACTCTGTGTATCTGTGGCGACCTCTCTTTTTTTTAAGCAAGACCAACAACCATTGTACGGCATGTTACAAGAAAGACAGAGACAGAGAGAGAGGAGAGAGAAAGAGAGAGGGAGAACGAGGAGCAAATGATAAACTCAAATGTACAGAAACCTTTACAAGAAAAATACTTCAATCCAGACAAGTGAAAATGATGTGTCAAAATCTCTTATTTCCATATTTACATTTATAAAACAACTATACAATAGCATCGCTGTGCAAATTGCAGTTCCCATTTCCAAAGGATGCTAGGTCCAGGAGAAAGGACAATGGGGTAGGTGAATCGCTGAGAGCAGGGCCATGGAGGTGCACAAGGCCTGTTGGTTCCAGGTGGTGCGGGGCAGGAGTGGATGTGAAGAGGCGCAGGCCAGCTCCGCGTGGCCATCTGTCACCTTCACCTTAGGAATTCGGTTGCAGGTTTTGCTGAGGATTGGCTTGCTAGCTTGTTGTATATATGCCATGCAGTTTGTACCCTTTCGAAAATTGGATCTTCATGCCACTGGAGTTTGTCATTGGTAGGAAAAGGGGGGAAAATCATGCCAAATCATTGAGAAGACATTAAGTGCCAGCAGGCTGAGGGAGGGGATGGGGTAGGATCCTCTGCTATTTGTAATGGTTTTTTTATTGCACTTAAATTTTTTATGGTTGTTTTGTTTTTCCTTCTTCCATTAGTTAGAAGAGAAAAAAAAAGATATTCGGAAACTGCTTTTCTAATATTGTCTTTTGCCCCCCTTTTATTGACAGGTGATGGGAGGGCTTCTTTGAGATGGCCTCCAAGAAGGACAGTTTCCTTTCATCCCAACCCTGTCAGCCCAACGTGAGTTTTGTAGTCATTACCAACCAAGGCTCCTGTTTCCAGACACACGAGTTCCGGCAACGTTGCTCGAAGTACGCCACACCCAGAATCCACCAGTACAAGGTGAACATCATCCAGGGCAGCTGACTCAGATGGGGCCTTGCTGGCTAGGATCGAACCTCCTCTTCTTGACATTTCTTCCGGAGTGCACCAAAGAAGATGCAAGCAGAGGGGGAGAAAATCCACAATGTTAATCGAGCATGAGGAGAGCCGGGCAGCAATGATGGCAACAATGCTAGCACCAGTGTGAAGTAATCGACCCACACCGAGGCAGACATTCCAAAGTCACTTAATATCGAAACGCAGAATAGCTGAGGCGTTTGAAGGGCTTTGCAGGGTAGCCAGTAAAATATGCCCAATTAAGGCCAAAGCAGCGTTCAGTTGTTCATTTCCAATCACAGGATGCTTCAGTGGCCCGATTTGTCTCCTATTTCTAAGGTAAATGGCATTGTTCATAAGTCAATAGAAACTGCCATCGGAAGAACTCTTCCACTGAGGGGACTATTAGGAGAACTGATAAACAGCCTAACTTTTCAGTAGTCATTGCCCTCCAGGGCCCAGGAGTTCTGGCTCAGCTGGTAGGTGTTTGACACGGTGGCAAGGAAGCCTTGGTGTATGGGCTCTTACCCCACTATGGAGTCAAGCATTTTTCACATTCAGAAAGTGGGGGGACAGAGTGCATGGTACGACAGTACACTCGAAGGAGAATGGACACAGGCTTGGGTTAGTTAAGCAAATGCAGCAGTTCAGCTTAGTTGAAAACAAGCAAGTTAAAATGCCTTGCTCACAGTGTCCAGTCTACTAAAGAGTGGATCCTATGCTTGAAAAGAGAAGATAAAGAACCAGCAAGACACTACAAAGGCAACAACAAAAGTTGGTTGCAACCTCCCCATGGTCTGGTTTCATGTGGGGCATCAAGCAAAGGGCTCATGCATGTCACCTGCATACTGAGCATGTGCAATGCTGCTGCCACAGAGGCATCATGCAAAACTGGAGACCCGGGAGTCCCCAAGAGCCCTCACACCCCTGCCCACTCCCTTGGGGCCACTTTGATACCCTCATAGTCTCAGGACCAAAGAGCTGATGATAGTAGACTTCTCCTCTCCCTTGAGTAATTTACAAGAACAAGAATGCCGAAGCACAGATTACTGCTAAGTCTTAATTTTTCCCAAGATGACCATTTCAGGAAAAATTAACACCTATTCAGAAGAGCTCTCTGTTCTTTAGTAAACTTTTCCTTAGGCAGCGTCATTAATAACCCGAGCATGTCACCCCTTGGTCTGGCCATCAGGGCTTGGAATTCACTCATCCAGTCCACCCCTCTTTGAGTCAACATCCTGGCAAGTAGGCCCTGCTGATGCTGCCCAGGAAACAGACAGGGGAGACCAAAAGAGGCGGTCTCTCCCCCTCCCCGCCCATTGGGGAGCCTTCCCTGAGTCAGCCTGAGGGATGGAGCTCAGAAGGTGGATGTATCAGGAGCCACACCTCCCCTCTGTGAGCCAGAGAAGGAAAACCTGACCCTGTGTGAGAACTCTAAAAGAGTTAAGGCTCCCCATCTTTTCTTAGCTACATATTGCTGGTACTCAAGTGAAATCACAAAGCAACACCTGCCTACTTTGTACCAAAATAGAGGGAAAAGCATACCAAGATAGCGCTGTACAGGGAGATGCCCACGTTGCCCCTATCTAAATCCTTTTAACCACATTTAAGGAAAGTCCAGATAAACAGCCACATCCAAGTTCATAACAGTAAGCCTATTTGTTCTTAAACAGAGACATCCAATTCCATGCCAGCTCAGGCTCTTAAAAGTTTCAGCCCCTTTGGAAGCTTAGCTGGCATATTTGGATAGACATGTTGTTCTCGGGGGTGACCAGGTTCCTAGGTCGGCCCAGAAGGCTGAATCCCACTGCACAGCTAGACATCTCCATGTGAAACCAGACTCTGACTACCAAGGCGGGTAATTTCAGGAACATTCTCCACCAAGTGCCAAGGGGGGAAAGTCAGCTGCCACAGAGGAGGGCGGAGCCCAGTGGGGAAGACAGAGAAAGGCATTCTGTCGGTTCTAATGGTGAGTGCTCCTCATGTATAACCCGGGCAAAGACTATGGGCCACTCGATGTGGCGAGAAGTGTCTAACACGAGTTTTCCAAACCAAGGACATTCCGGTTGACTGTGAGAAGTGCACCCATTGTGCACAGATATTTGGTGTCTTCCTTCTGCCGGGGTTGCCTATGAATTTCAATGCCCTCTGCTCACTGGAATTTTGAGGGCATTAAACTTTCTCATCATCACCTGTAAAGTATTTTGGGATCATTATAATATATTAGCGCAATCTATAAACCTAGCATCAGCCCATTTTTTTCAGCTATTTTTTGGATACTTCTGAAAAATCTATACTTCTGCCTTTGATATCTATGATCCGTATATCCATCTATGCCAAATTAAAGACAGAACGCTTACAGAGCCATAACCACCTGAGATCTGTGAAGCATTTTGGTCTACTTTCCATGGTGCATGCATTTCTGCGCCACTATTACTCTTTTATCTCTGTACACTGAGCAACCATGCTCCCATGACCTAGAAGCATGGAAATGGACCAATTCGGAACCTCTCACTCCCCGGGAGGCTGGACTGAGAGAGTTGTCCCGAGTCCTCCTAGCGGGCCTGGGGCCACCTAAGGTCTGAAAGGGAATGTGCCTGACTGGTGCTAGGAGAATCGGGCTCTTCATTTTACTCTGGGCTGTGGTCGTGACTCTCATTAAGCAGCTTTTTTGTTCGCTTCCTCTTGGAAAAGACTAGCTAAAATAGACCCTATTTTCTAATTCTACCAAAAAGAGATATTTAATATTCTGAGAAAACGTCACTAGCAGTATGATGCTCTGGTCCAGTTTCACCCATGTTGGCATCGAGCAATTCAGTGAGTTTTGTGAGGTGATCCAAATGGCCTCCTCTACACACCCTTCTTCGTGAGTCCGCTAAACGCCTTCCGGAGCATGTCAACAACACAGAACATTGGTCAGACAGGATTTCTTAGAGCCCAAATCAGGCACCGTATAAATTAGATGAGCCAGTCAGGGTGCGATGTAACAACAATGAAAAATACAACTGTCCTCTAGTTCCTAAATGTTTCCTCCCCGCTCCCACTACCATGACTCGAATTCGACCTAGCAAGTCTGGCTAGACCAGAGGATGTACACTGGTACAGATAGGAACTGAAAATACGGGGAATCCAGGACGGATGAGCCCTACAGGACCAGTGGTGTGAGTGGTAAAACAGGGAGGGTAAAGGGAGAATGGGTAGGAAAGAGGGAACCGATTACATGGAACTGTGTGTGACCTCCTCCCTGGGGGACAGACAACCGAATAGTGGGTGAAGGGAGACGTCGGACAGGGAAAGATATGACAAAATACCCATTTATAAACTATCAAGGGCTGATGAGGGAGGGGGGAGCGGGGAGGGAGGGGAAAAATGAGGACCTAATGCCGGGGGTTTAAGTGGAAAGAAAATGTTTTGAGAAACGATGTACAAATGCGCTTTACACAATTGATGTGTGTATGGATTGGGATAACAGTTGTATGAGCCCCTAATAAAATGTTTAAAAAAAAAATTAGTGACCCAAGTGACTTCTCAGAGAAAGGAAACTACATATGACAATGAAGCAGACTACTTACATGAGCCATGTTGGACGGCTCGAGCAGTTTCACCACAGCCACTCCTGGTGGTGGTAGAAAGCCCCTTTGCCACTGAATCCCAGGGACAGAGCAGGTGGCAGAACATGAGGATAGTTCCACACACTGAGACATCCTCCCAGGGCTCAATATCTGTCCTGGAACCCATGTTGTTTAAATGTTCCAGCATACTATGTTACGTGAACCTTCTTGTCGTTTCCTACCTGTCCCCTCCCATGTCCTTTCGTTAGCATCAGCCCTCATCTGTTCTACTTTGCGCCTTTCCAAAGCTTTCGGGGAGCTGTCCCTAAACTGATCCTTCATCTAGCCACTGTGTTCCCGGTGACCAGTGGAAACAAGAGCCTTCCTTGTCCAATTGAACACACAAAGGATTGCGACCTTCGGGTAAGGAAGAGAGTGTTCAGGGAAGTCAAGGCCGATGTGGGAGCAATTTGGACACACTGGTGGGCCAAGGAAACACCTGCATTCCTTTTCCACAAAAGCCCTCAAAGGAAATCCTAAAACCCCAAAGACCTGGAAATGCACAGATTCAATCTCCCCTTAATAGTCACCTCACCCTTCCGCAGTATGGAGTTCAGGATCCAAAGTCTCCCAGGTGTCACCACCACATGTCCCCGAGAGGCCACGTTTTTCAGCTGAGGAACCCCCAACCCAGCCCGAGGAAGTTCTGTTTGCAAGAACCAGCGCACTAGGCCGGCTGACGGGAAGTCATCAAAGGTGGCATTCTTTCCTGATTGCCACGATTCAAATGAGGCTGATAACTGCGACGTACACATAAAGAGCACACATGCACCCGCACATGCCCACGCACACGCAGAGAGGTCCTCTGTTCTTTATCTTTTGGGAGGAAATCGGGCTTCTCGGAACAAGAGTGGCAGAGAAGGCCACGGCTCAGCTGTAGTCCTCATCTGTCCTTGAACAGGAGAGACACTGTGCGGAACAAGTAGGATACGCCCCAACCCCCCGAATTCCTCAGGACACTGCCTTCCAAGAAATGTGACCTGAGAAAACAGCACTCCTCTCTCCGACCAAGGCACACACTTCCTTCACTCTGAGCGAAACGCACCTAGCTCTTTCCGTCATCAAACCTGTTTCTAGAAGGCTTTCCCCAAGCAGTGTTTTGAGCAAGCCTTTTTAGGATGGACTATTTCCACCTTCTTTTCCTGAAGGAACCCGTCTTGATTTACAGGGAACACGATGGAAAAGTTCAAATGTTTTAAAATAGCAAATAATTATACTTCCAAACTATCTCTAGGCTCCTAATCTCCAAAGTTACCAAAACGCGAGCAAAAACCCTAAGCACGCTCTCTCCTTCAAGACCTAGGTTTGAAGGCGAGGCAGCCAGCGGAAGTCAGTAGACGCCGGGGCCACCATTACTCTGGAAAAGGCAAACCGAGACCCTCACGAGATGCCCGTGAGCGGGGCTGTCCAGGCAACTGCAGGTTCTCCACATATAAACTCCGAATGCTCAAGAATTCTTCACAAGCTTCCCCGTTTTCCTCCCTTTGTTTTGGGGCATGAAAATATTTTTTCTGAGCTACCGTGTGCCTTTCGACGGCACTTCTGGGAAAGTTGGAGGAGCTCGGCCCGGGGTGACAGGAGGTGTGTCTGCACAGCAGCCCGCTCCCCGCACCTGCGCGGCTGCTTTGTATCTCACCGTGTGTTGGTCCTGCCCTGTGACTCTTTTACCTTTGTGGCTATTTTGATGGCCAGACACCTTTCTCCCATCTGAATCATTCACACAGGGCCTCATCCACTTACACACACAGTGAAAAAGCCGTTTCCAGCCCCCCGCCCCCCCAAAGAAACATGCAGCTCAAGCTGTGGGCTAGGCCAGGCCACGGTTTTGAGGTCCTGCTACAGCCAAGTGCTCCATCTGCAAGCATAGAAATGGCAAATGTCACCCTGCGCGTGGCTGGATGGCGCAGGGCACAGTCCACAGTTGTCTGGGCCTGTCCTGGTGCCAAGGCGTCAAAAGCCTGGGGAAGAATCTTTTTAAAAAAATATGTTCTAGAGACACATTTATGAAAAAGTGCAAGAAAGCATGATACTGCAGTAAGAGCAGATGTGGGACTCGCAGAAAGCACAGAGACTTCTGAACAGAAGGGGGTGCAAAGAGAGGGTGTGCTCGCGTCAGGCTAGCCCCGGCGAAACGTGCTCTTTTGTTAGGTGTCCTGATGATCTGGGATGTATCTTGTTAATACCAGGACAAGGAATTTGAATGTTGAGTTGCGCACACTGTGTGGTTTCTTGGGTGTTGTTTGTTTTTACACGCACAGATGACAAAGCCATGTCGCTAAACAGATTCAACAATATCTCTTGTTGGAAGAAAGCCTGTCTGAGAGCAGCTTTTCTGGTCAAAGCCACTCAAAGGCGTGAGGTCCACTGGGTCTGCACATGACAACACAGGGAATGCCACCTTGATTTAAAGTGTCTCTTTGTTTTTAAAATAAGTCCCTAAACATGATATTTCAGTTGATTTAAATATTTCAGGACTCCAAGGATAAAATGGAATACAGTTCATCATGAAGGCAAATCTTTAGGTACTTCTGACCAAGAGATGCCTCTATTGAGTAATGATATGGGGCCAAGGTGGGCTTTGAAGAACATTGGGTAACAATGTTACTTTCCACTAGGTTTGTTTCTGTTGATCTGGTTGAACATGACTTTGTGCTGGGGAATATGAGGCACAAGATGTGTTATCTACAAATCATAATAATCAAGTCACCAGAGCAGGAAAAAGTGTAGAAAAGCAATTATCCAATGAATTTGAGGTGTAGAAATGTCCGAACTGGAGAAAACAAGTCTAAACTTTGTGATCAGAGTTAATGCCTACTCTCTGGCATGTCTATTTAAGGAAGCTCAGTTCAGTGAGCAATGTGCAAAGCAAACTAAAGGGTCACACAGAAAATATGCTAGTTCTACCTGCTGTGTCAATATTAGCAGGAACTGAGAAAACATTAAGTGTCGCCTAGATTTCAAATACCAGTTCAGTTAGCTAGAGAATTCATGAAAATACACATTTTAAAATCTGCTGTTCTCTAAGAATGAAGCCTTTCAAATCCTCCATGTTACATGTGAAAAATAATGATGTCTCCAGAATAGCGCAAAAGTTTAAATGGAGTCTACCAATGGAGTACAAATCTCTCTGAAACAGATGCAAGCACTTCGGATTCACTTCTCCCTGCCTACACGGCTTCTTTCCCATCTGTTTATAAAGGGATGTGCCACCTGGAAGCGCTGTGTCCTCTGCTGAAGAACTCCGACTAAGTGCCCTTCCACTTGGGCTCCTGGGTCCTCCCGCCCCTCCTGTTTCCCCCCTTGTCTGAAGATGATAGTTGATGCTTTGTGTTTCTCCTCTCTATCCTATTTCTGGAAGAACACACACACACACACACACACACACACACACATACTTGTAGCATGTTTACTTTTTTTGTTTAACTTTTAAAACTCAAAATCTTGTAGCAGGAACTCAAAACGTGTTTCTGGAAGCAGGAAAGAGAAGTGCAGAGCCACTGAGAAGACGACATGCGGCATTGCTTACTTAAATCCCCAGCCCGTGCCCCCAAGGACAATGGCGGCTACCAGGATGGCACCGGCGATGGAGCCTATTATGAGATTGGTGGCACTAGGACCTGTGACAAAGGATCGTGGGAAGAAAATCATATGAGCCAACCTATGTAGTTACCACAAGGGACAGATGGTTTATTGGTGTCAGGAAGTAAGTATCCAATGTAAAATCAAACAAACAAAACAAAACTAACGACATTTGAATAGCCTTTATTTACTTGGCTTAACTGTATTTGGGAAGCTCTGGACAGCTAGTGCGTGGGCATGTATCCCTTCTCATCAAAAGTCTGTAGCACTGGCACTGAACTTCACTCAATTCACCTTCTACCGAATTTGAAGCAAAGATGCCCCCAATGGCTGTTTTTACGTATTTTCCATTTCCCCTTCACCAATATCACAAATGAAATTTAGAAAAAAACATAAAGAATAAAACTGTATTAGAATTTGTTCAACCTGATGAATAAGCAGGGCATGGGAACAAAGAAAAATCCTCCACTTCAGCGCTCTTCCAAGCTGCCTGAATGTGGACGTTCTTATCCGTCGTTTGGAGTTGGTAAGGACTGACAAGTCAGAAAGAAGGGGTCGTCAATAAAGCGTGTCCTTCCTCTAGGAGGCACACTTCGCCACGGTCCTGACAGTGCTACACAGCAAAGGCAAGACATCAGAGGAGCGTCAAGTTCATTTGGGTAATATTGGGGAAATGGCGTTAACTTCGATTGAGCTGAGAATGTTGTTCAGGTTCCTGTTTTTTTACTTAGAGAAACTTGAGACTTTGAGATATTAAAAATGAATGGAGCAAGAAGAACAGCCAAATGAATAAATAAATAAGAAATCTAAGGTGGCGTTATCTGTCAGCTGTTGGACTAGTTCTGATGTGTAGTACAGTAAGCTCTCTGCCTCATTTTGGAAAGACGGAGCTAGGTGCTTTTTACAACTAAGTAAAGTGAATCACTGCTCGTTAACAGCACAGAACATTCGGTCCTAACTATCTATTCTTACTGCAAACGTCACAAGGACACTTTTGCTACTTCCTGTAAGGTCCTCTGTAGGTGGGCCATGCATTCCTTTCTACGCAGAAAACTCTCTTTTCTGTTCACATCAATGCCCTCAACTGTGTACCTACATGGCTGCCACTTCTGGTCACACTAAAACCGTGTTTTCACACAAAGAGCCTGCTCCGTGTTTGTGGGCAGACAGGTGGAGGAAACTGCCGAGGAGTCTCCTGAACTTGTGACATCCTCTTAGGAGGAAGCGCCGCAGCTCTAAAGAACAGGCATCTCTGAGGCCTCCAGAGATACATCCACAATTGCGCCTAAAAAGAATGAACAATAAAAGCAGTTTGATGCTGTTGTCGGGCGCCATCGGGCTTTCCAAGTGTGACAGAGTGTGACAGAGTAGAATTGTCTCACAGAGTTCTCTTCGTGGAATCCTTATGGAAGCCACTGGGTGGATTTGAACTACCCACCTTTCAGTTTGCCGCCTTGCACTTAATGGTTGCACCACAAGGGCTCCCGGAAAGCAGTTTAACTGCTATCTGTGGAGCACTCAGTTTCTACAAGGTGTGTTTCTAAGTACTTGACATATTTGGATCATTGGATCCTCACCCCATACAGAGGCAGTCAGTAGGGTGATGGCTATTTCTGTCGAACAGATGAGAAAGCAGAGGCTTCAAGAGGGTAGTGATGGAGGCAAGAGTTGAACACAGATTTGCCTGACTCTGTACCGTATGCTCCGAACCAGAGGTCAGTGAACTACAGTCCCTGGACCAAGCTAGGCACACCGTCTGTTTGAGAACATAATGTGTACCAGAACAGAGGCTCACTCATTTGTATATTGCTTAGGGCTCCTTTAGTGTTCTGACAGTGCTGACAGGCACAAACTTTGCTAACTCAAATGAAAAGTCATTCGAGGGACACGTATTTCCTCTGGATATTGGAGTAGGGAATCCAATTTTGAAACACATATTTTAAAATAGCTTTGTATCTCTATGAATGTACTCCATACTTAGACGTGATTTATATTCCCGTAAGTAAAAAAAGCTTAGGTGGCAATGAGAATAACTGCATAATTCATTAAAAAGAGTTCTGATCATCCTAAGCTAAGGAATGGACACAAAAACAAACATGAAAACAAAACCCTCTGCTCATGAAATAGCTCTTAACTCAACGAAAATCACGTTATGATTTAGAATAGAAAGTCTAAGAACAATTTATAATTTACTACACCAATTTTACTTTAACGACTACATTTACTTCTGTAGCAACTCTGGCAAAAATTAGAACTTGAAGAAATACTAGACACAAACAACAGATAAGCCAAGAGATTAATAAATAGCATCTCTTCTTAGAAAAATATGTATCCATCCACGGACTTACCTGTCAGAACCAGGATAGCCACAGAAACCAACAACACTGGAAAGGATGGAAACAGGTGCCCGTAACAAGGACTGTGTCTGACAGTAAAGGTCTCTGGGGTTTTGTCTGTCTCTAAAAATTAAGGGAGGATTACTAAAACTCACCCCTGCAACTTGGTTATGACAGGACACCACAATTATGGCCAAACATGATCTCAGCAATGGATGTGGGATGCGTATTGGAACGCTACCTTTCTTCATGAGGGATTTCACACATGTGCATGCAGGATTTCCTCCTGGTAAAGGAATGTTACTCCTGCGCATGGACAGAGTCAAAGTGAAAATCTACGGGGCACATTTCTAATTTTCTCTGAGTGTTTTACCCTGGGATATATTTTATATTCTAACCAATGAAGAGATATAAATGCACTCCAGTGTTTCCAATGTCCACTAGGCTACGACCTTCACAGTTCAGACCAATGGCACGGGAGTGAGAAGGTCCAAGCCTGGCTCACGTCCTTCACACAGGGAAGAGCAGGCTCCTTCAATCTGCAACACAGCGTGGGATCTGCAGATCTGCTTGCCTTCCTCCTCAGGCTGGAAGGGAATCAGTGGGCTCCGCCAGTGTGACGAAAGAGGGATGTGCCTGAAATGGCCGGCATGCCCAGGATCTGGCTGCTGGTGTGGAGAATGCCTGGTGACCCCTTCGGATGCTCTGAAGTCATCCCTGAACCACAGACCGGCAGAACAGATGGCACGGGAAGAGGCAGTTCAGTCATTTGTGAACGCTCCCTTCAGAATCATTTTTTAAAAATCACGGTGACCTCTTAGTCTACAAATTACCAGTCTCATGAATGAGTTGTTCCACCGAAAACTGGCAACGATCCTACGGATATGAGCCAAGGACAGAGTGAGCTAAATTACGGCCCAGGAGGACGGGACCTCCGTGAAAGCGACACGAAATATTGACTAGCGTCCTGGCTACTGCTCAGACAAATACGTCAGATAGCTTCCAAACATCCACTTCAGGCTCTGCAGGCTTTCTGTTTTTGACTGTGCTTCTTCCCAAATATTTATACAAACATCAAACTTAAATTAAGAACCTGCTTTATAGGAAAAAAATGAAGGGCAGGATCCTAAATATAATTGATTAAAAAAATCATGTTGAAGCTTTCTAGATGCCTTTAAAAATCTGAGGGATTATTAGTGGCTACCATTCAGATTTTGTTCAAGAGATAGCTCAGGTCACTTGGATTTATTAGACCGAGTGAAGATTAAACTCATGATTAAGCACCCGAATAGAGCGCTCACATAAATGCATTTATGCTAATAAGTAGTCAGACATCTTTTAGAATCACACTTTTTCAGTGCGATGACCTACAAGTGGAGGGGCAATGGAGACGTTTGGGCCATTGCCCCAATGATGAAGCGATAATAAGCACCCCAACACAGTACTATGCCCCACATCGTCCCAGACAGGAGAAGGTTCTCCACTGCACAAGAAAACCACAAGACACAAACACATCCAAATCACACCAGAAGTTGCACTAGCACAGGAGACAGTCACTGGGACAAGACACAAAGGAGTCAGGGACCAAGGGTCGCCTCACACACCAGGCACCACACAGAAACACTGCGAAACTCAAAGATGCTTACTCTATGCCCCACCCCGTGCCTCCAAAAATCACCCCCAGGGCCAGAATCGTGCCTGCCACGGCACCTATTAGCCTGCTGGTGGCCATGTTCGCTGTGTGGAGGGAAAATGGAGATGTTCTTTAACAAAGGAATCACACTCTGATTGCACTGAAAGCATCATCTCTTCAGGAAATCCCGAGTGTCAATTAAATATTGAACCTCTGCCTTAAGATTGGAAAGTAAGATACATACACATTGAATACCTTTGAGGATCATTTTAAATTTACCTTCAAAATCCACAAATATGGCTTGAAAACAAAATATTTTTATAAAGATTCTTAAACACACGGACGAAACAATCTGAGTTATACTTTCTGCAGTGAGAGGTAAAGTGAAAGTGTGATTTGAATTGTATAACAGTAAATCTCGACTTCAAGTACAAAAGGGGTAAACCACTTGTGGATTTCTGAAAAAAATTCTCCCATTCTAAAATATGCATCAGAAGCAAGATATTTCCAAAATTTTGAGCCTACAATTTACAGTTTTGTGAAAATCCTTACATACTCAAAACATTTTGTACATTAACTGTATTTTTTACCTGAAAAGTGTATTTCAAGTAACTCTGCTACAGTGTTTGGACGGGTTGTCTAGACCACCCACTGAGAGGAAGTTAAGGTCTCCGAAACAGTGTCGCTGGTTTTCACCTCAAGGACTAGATCCCTAGTGAGTGGAGATCGTCCCGCGCCCCTGCTCCTGCGACTGCTTCTTCGTATTGAAAACTCAAGCTGTTAGAAGTGGGGATGCCCAAGGTTTGCTCTGCGCAGACAAAATAAAGTTTGTGGTTGGAAGAGGAAGCCAAATTATTTAAGTGTGTGTGTGTGTGTATGTGTGTGTTGTTGTATGTACCCACCAACTGCTTAAGGGTGTGTGTGTGTGTGTGTGTGTGTGTGTGTGTGTGTGTGTGTTGTATGTACCCACCAACTGCTCTGTGTGAAAGTCAGAAGGCCAGTCAGCTTCCATGAAGAATCCAGCCTCGGAAGCTCCAGGGGGCCACTCGACTCTGTTCTTCAGGGTCCC